CGTGTGTGCGTGTGTTGGGGTGGTGTGGGTTGTTGTGTGTGTGTGTGTGTGTGTGTGTGGTGGTGTTGTGTTGATGTGTGTGTTGTGTGTGTGTGTGTGTTGTGTGTGTGTGTGGTATGTGTGTGTGTGTATGTGTGTGTGTGTTGTGTGTGTGGTGGTGTGTGTGTGTGTGTGTGGTGTGTGTGTGTGTGTGTATGCGTATGTGTTCGTGTGTGTGTGATGGTGGTGTGTGTGTGTGTGTGTGTGTGTGTGTGTGTGTGTGATGTGTGTGTGTGTGTGTGGTTGGTGTGTATGCGTGTGTTGTGTGTGTGCATGTGTGTGTGTTATGTGTGTGTGTGTGTAATGCGTGTGTAGTGCGTGTGTGTGGTGTGGTGTATGCGTGTGTGTGCATGCGTGTGTATTTGGCGTGTGTGTGTGTTGTAGTGGTGTATGCGTGTGTGTGTATGCGTGTGTTATGCGTGTGTTGCGGTGTGTGTGTGTTTGTGTGTTGCGTTGTGTGTGTGTGTGTGTTGTGTGTGTGTGTGTGTGTGCCTGTGTAGTGTTGTGTGTGTGTGTGTGTGTGTGTGTGTGTGTGTGTGTTGGTGTGTGTGCCGCAGTGTGCGTGTGTGTGTGTGTGTGTGTGTGCGTGTGTGTGTGTGTGTGTGTGTGTGCTGTGTGTGTGTGTGTGTGTGTGTGTGTGTGTGTGTGTATGCGTGTGTGTGTGTGTGTGTGTGTGTCTTATGGCTCGTGGGGTGGACTGAATTCCTTCCTCTGCTGAGTGTGTGCCAAGATATACAATAGGCATAGAAACATCCGCAATCATTAGCATAAACAAATAATCATAAATAAGTGGCATATCACAAGGTAAATCTTAATTAACATTATCATAAGAACAAAGTAATATTCCTCTCCTGATAATCAACTTTTATGCTAAATTTTACATTACACCCTCTTTTTTCTACTAATTATAAATCAATAATCATTGACGGAATCAACACCCACATCCCACAATCTACCAGTATCTTTCCATGATTTTACTTGCATATAATACAATTGTTCCCCTTCCTTTTATTCTTTATATTTCCCTCTCTTACACTTTACTTTATGTTTTTGTTAATACATATGTATATATGTGTGTGTGTGTGTGTGTGCGTGTGCTGTGTGTGTGGTGTGTGTGTGTGTGTGTGTGTGTGTGTGTGTGTGTGTGTGTGTGTGTGTGTGTGTGTGTGTGTGTGTGTGTGTGTGTGTGTGTGTGTGTGTGTGTGTGTGTGTGTGTTGTTATCTGTCACATCCCGGCTTACGAAGCCACACTATCTTTTTCATTTTTTTACTTATTGCTTCACTTTCTAATCCATTGTTTTTCTTTCTTTTAACGTGAATTATGCACATTCACATAACCCATGGCTAACAGACTAGACCACCCATAGCTCAAACCTCTCCGTATTTAACATGTATGTGTAGGGGTTGTGTGTGTGTTTGTGGGTATGAGTGTATACATGTGCATGTGTGTATGTTTGTGTTTGTGACCGTGTGTATAGGTATGTGAATATGTTTGTGCGTGTGTGTGTGTATGTGTGCGGTGTGTGTGTGTGTGTGTGTTTTAGTGTGTGTATGCGTGTGTGTGCGTGCTGTGTGGTGTGTGTGTGTGTGTGTGTGTGTGTGTGCGTGTGTGTGTGTGTTTATGTGCGTGCGTGCTTGCGGGCATCCTCTGTGTATGCATGGTTGGGATTTACCAATAGACCCTGGAGTCCATCGCTGAAATTGATTTGTCGCGCAGTGTACCATAAACTCGTTTCAACTGCACACCCAGTTTTCCATGATCCAGCACTTTCACAACATAGAGCTGCTGTAAAATGCATTTAGAATCCGAAGTAACGTCTAGAGCTCACAAATTCATTATTCCGGCCTAGCACATGTGTCTACGTTAATTTAATTGTGAATGTTATATTTTCTTGCAATAAACAGTAATAATCGAACATATAAACTGGCCTAAAAACAACCTCATACGAATTTTGTCGAGCAACCCGACCTGAGAGGTTGGCTAAAGATATTTCGGATGAATTTTAACTATTCCTAATGATTCTTCACATGAATAATATGCATATAAGGAGTATTCATATGAGATTATTATGTGAAGAGTATCCACATGTGTTTATTATAGAAAACGTTTTGCTGGTTTTGTGATCCCGTAAAATTGTTAGTAAACACAAAATGACACTAAACGTTTAACAACACAGTACCGCATGAGTGTAAACATTTAGTTATTCTTCAGGTAATTTTATGTTTTTTATCTTTTCTGACGAGTAATGTTATTTTTTAGATTGCATTGAGAATTTAATCTAGTAGGAAGATGCAGATTTCTTGTTATTAGTGTTATGAGCTACTGAGTGATGCGAGTAGATGAAATATGAGCTTTATTATAGACGGCTTTACTATGAATTAGTGTGGCATCATGACTCTATCTTTAGACTAAACTTTATAACGAAAGGAACATGCAGATTATAATAAAATTCTATAAACA